CTCTCTCTCTCCCTCTCTCTCTCTCCCTCTCTCTCTCTCTCTCTCTCGCTCTCGCTCTCGCTCTCTCGCTCTCTCTCTCTCTCTCTCGCTCTCTCGATCTCTCGCTCTCTCGCTCTCTCGCTCGCTCTCGCTCTCTCTCTCTCTCGCGCGCGCGCTCTCTCTCTCTTGGGGAGCATAGCGTATCTTGTACCAAATCCCATGCGAAAACGTGCGTGTGGGAAGGCACATGCTTCCTTCTTGCTGTTGGCGGAGAAAACTTGCACTTCATCTTCCGCTGCTCTTCCACAGGCGGTGGCTCCTGGCATTGGCATACTTCTGAAAGTACAGAGGAACGCCCTAGGATTGGAAAAGATTTCTAACTTGGAGCTATCGGGAAGCCATCAGAGACGAACAGTTCCCGTCACGTGGGCGCACCTCGGTGAGACTTGTTGCCAGCGCCCCTTGCCCTACCTCATTAGGGTGGTCTACCTCAGCGAGCGCAAAGCATAGGTCTGGACTGGTGGATATGCGACGATACGCCTTCACATTCAATCCATGCCTCAGCACAAATCTAATAGCAAAACCTGCTCTGGAAGCCAACCGCAGCAAATAATACGGTGCGTTATCGTTGAAGTCTTCGATCCACCGCAAGATTAAAGAGCACAATGAACGATTATGTACAGACACAAAATGGTGTAGTCTAGGTTCCACAAGGAGCTTTGTTGGCAGAAGGCAAGTGAAGTATCTTCGCATGCAGCACCTGCCGCAGGAACATGTTCAGTCTGTTGTTCTGGCACCTCATGCTGTTGCAACTCGTCGTAGTCAAACGGTTGAGGATATCTGTTTGCGCGCACATGGTTCATCTGTAGAAAAGTTGCTTTCAAAGCGATCAGTATGATGATTCAGCCTTTCTGCATGGAAATCTGCGGGCAACGGCCCGTAGCGACCAAAGATCCGGATGTCCTGCGCAATTTGCGTAGCTCCGTGACCCTCCCTTGGCAAAAGACTCTGGGGTACCTCAAAGCACAGCCTAAAACAGTGTTGTTATCGGCTAGTTGGCGATAACCCAACTGTACTCGACTGCCTCTGGCAGGGCATCATTGGCTCTAGCGCACCAGGCACTGCAGTCCTGCAGTCGCCCAACTCAAGCGTCACACACACTCATCATCATGGTCTTCGGCTTGACTACAAAGCAATCTCAGCACAGGCCGTGTTCTAGCCTCGACTAAAAGCCATGACTTCATGACTTTACCTCCTCGACAACAAAAACCAGCGCCCCGACAAAAACAAGAGCGCGCCCCTCGACAAGGCCAGGGGTTATAACTTATGACCGAAAGTTAAACAAAGCTAACGCTGCCCCGAGTGTGGGGGTTGCTGCTGCAGGCGCTGCAACTGATTTCTGCCTGGCACGGAGCATAGTCGCTGTCTGTCCCACAGGTCGTTTTCTGAAACGATGCGCGCAACTTAGCTTTCCGTGCTTTCCGTTTTGCCCAAGTTGCCAGAGTTCAATTTTTCTATATCCAAGTGCTTCCGAGGTCCGAGTGGGCTGTTCCGATATCGCTGGCTGACAGACCGCGGGACGTGTTGCACATCACTGTGGGGAGTGGCTTTTCTTGGGCTTCTGGTACATTCAATCTCACCCGTTTCACCCCTCGGCCCAGCCAGGCAGCCAGACCTTAAGTGCTCGATATATTTGTCAACCAGTTTGGGGAATGTAAGTGTTGCCAGTGATGTACATGTTCCACACGGCAGCTGTGAAGTGAACGGGGCGCCAGGCCGTGGCAGCGTGGAACGTTAACGGCCGCCGCTCTGCCGGAGAGTGCAAGAGGTCGTGTCTTGATTGAGGCGTGTCACAATCCAGGCAAACAGTCGCAAAGCGGTGTCTATGCCCTCCAAAAGCTGCACTGGAATAGCTTGCGTGGCTTCTCTGAGGCTGTAGGCTGTAGGAGGTTCCAAAGGAGTTGGGGCACGTCACAGTCCAGGCACGTAGCCCCAAGTCAGTGTTCTGTGCCTTCTACAAAGTGCGTGCATCCAAGATATGTCATATACTTTCGACGGTCTTCTGCAAAGCTTCAAGCGCTCATATAGAGAAGGGCCCGCCCCATTCCGCGAATCACTCACGAATAGCCCAGGCGTTTGAAAGCTGGACACGCCCCAGGTCCGCCTCTTCCTCCGTGCCGCTGCGGGGCAGCTGGAGAATTTTGCTGGAGCTTTGGATGTTGGGAAGGCTAATTTGGGTCACTGTGTCCGGGATGGTCACAAGTGCCATCTGCAGTGTGATTCCCCGCATTCCCTTGTCGTGGACTTGGTGGGTACTGTTGTCAGGGGGTAGGGTGTTGTCTTGTCGAGGACAACCGGTTTTTGTTGTGGTTCCTAAAGGGCTTGTTGTGGGTATAACAGAACCTCGTCTCAGGAGGTCAGTAGTGGGGCAGCTTTGAAGGATATTGTCTGATTCATGAATCAACATCGTGTTTTTTTTTATCAGATTGTGAGGATGTCCTCGGGTGCAACAACCTCTGTAGTCAAGCTGAGGACGTCGCAAGCCTTCAGCATGTCCTGGTGGGAGGCGTGTCGACTAATAGTCGAGGACCACTGTGGTGAATAGACAATACAAAGCTATGTAACAACTAAGCTTATCAAATGAATATCTCACAACCTTTGTGACGCTCGCAGCGGCTGGATACCAGTATCCTTCGCATCTCTCTCTGACGAAAAAGCACCCGGCCTCGGTGACATTTCAGAAAAGTGTGAAAACAAGCGCTCCTGAGAACTGAAATCAGAGCCCTCAGTAAACCTGCAGCAAGGCTTGGCAAGGAGCCAGAGTGGATTGCTTTGAGCTTGAGTTGACTTGATTGTCGTTTATTGGCTAAGTTAACGCTCTAGGAGCAAAGGGCATCGCTACTAGGAGCAAGGACGTAGGAGCAAAGGGAGCAAAGGGCATCGCTCTATGGGCTTCCAAACGCTACGCCCTGCTCTGCCAGCGCTGCATAGCTCGGCCCGTGGTCAGGTGCTCCCCTTGCAACGTCCAGCGCTCGCCAAAAAGGTTGCCACCAACTGTGGCTGCTGGTGGCCTGAAGTAGAAAGCACCAAGTGACAAGCGAACACTGAAGAACTGTTGCCAGTAGTACATTGAAAATTGATGAATGCTGTGTTACCCAAAGACTGGGAAAACAGACTCAGGTTCTGTCCACTCCAAGCACTAGCGCCACCCTCTCCGTGGGTCGTTTGATTTCCAGGCCATCTGCTGCTGCACTTGCAGTGCACCCAGAGTTTCGCAAGTGCCGAAATAGCCTTGGGCATTCCACCAAAGTAGTGAACATGTGACAAGCATGGGAATTGGTGTAACTCAAAACACTAGTACCCATAGTACAGTTTTGCCACGTCTTCCTGCATCAAGAAATGAGCCACGTGCATGACCTCTGTTTGGCAATCTTATAGAAGAGGGTCTAAGCAACTGTTGAGGTCCTCTTGTGATAAGAATAATGCCAAAGCATACATCTGAAATCCCTGACAAGGCTTGGGTGATTGGGGGTTCCAAGCCTTGGTAACACGGAGCTCGTGTTCTGTAAAATCTGTGAAGAAAGACACCCATCCAATACAAATAGTTTGAGAAATGTTGCACCGGCAAAACTGTCTGAAAACATGACTGTATGTCCTCTGAGCTGCCCGTTCTTCGATGGAAACAATTCATTGCAGAAAGCACAGGTGTATCCATCAGCCACAGTCATGTCGCTGCATGCTCCATACTGTTGTGATGTATGATGGTGTATGCATCTTAGGTCTTTGACTTACCTTCCCCTTGCTACTAGCAAGATGCTGGTTAGCGGTTAGCGGCTAAAGGCCTCTGAGGTACACAACTGGATCTGCATCATCGCGTCATCACACGCTATGTCCAGCTGCTCCATGGACCGTCAGAAGATTAAAGTGGGGGGTGATCTAGCAGCTAGCAGTTGCTGGCTACACTTGACCAATTTGATACGATGACGATGACACTATTTACTACGCCAGGGGCGTCATTCTTGGCCAAAACTGTTTGACAATTGTTGACCCAAGAAGGCTGCACCGTCTCAGGACGCGTTTAGGTCCTGTGCACCTTGTCACTCTGACAGATTGCTATCAAAGCAGCTTCTGCTAATAGGGTTGAGTTAAGCCCTTTTTTGGCTTCAAGCAATACCAAGCGCATCAAGCTCACTCAGCCAGTGGTGCAAACTTCCACCTTGTGGAAATCATGGCATTGCCCTTGACTACCCCCGACGGTGAACATCCCTTGCCCCAATAACTGGCTTCTCTCAGACAAGAATCTCAACTTCTAAGCTGCTGACCGACCCATGTGTTAACTTGTTGCTGCATTGGGGCTGGGGCCTCGGCAGGGATCACCACTCCATGCAGAAAATCTCTCTTGCACTATATCTTGGATAGGTAAGTTTAGGTAAACAAATTGTGGCAGGTCAACTATATCTTGGACAAGCAAAATCATTCCTCAATATGACTTCCGGCACTTTTCCGGTGTTTGGTTCCTCCATTAGGTGGTGCTGGCAGCGTGAGCCTGGACGGATCGATTTGGGACCGTACCTGGTCGGGTGGTACAAAGGGTGCTCCTCTTCATGAAGGCCAGGCCGGGGCAGAATGCAAGCAGGGCAGCAGGGTGGTGGCACTACGGAGCGCATGGTATGGTGTGGGTCAGGTGGCTCTCTTCACTTGTGTGCAGTTCGATATACAGGTGTTCTTGTCATGTACAAGGCCATTGTGTTGCTTTGGAACCCGACATACAGCATTATACGGCTGACATCCAGGTTTTGACGCTAAGTTCTACTTGTGCATTTTCTTGATCGTACAGGAGTTCTGGCATAGGTAGTTTCATGGCCTTCGCTTTTTCACCGGACCTTTCCCCGACATTTGCTTGTGCAGTGCCATGACAGGATGATCTGGGCATCACAAGATCAGCATAAACAGAAAACAAAGGGAAACAACAAATATATATATATATATATGTACTGTATATTCATGCAATGTATTGTTTGCCACCTTCATGTGTTTTCAACTGGTCTTGTTTCTTACCTTTTTCTCATCTTGGACTCATTGAGTCGAACAGGGCCTCGCGAAGCATCTGACGCAGCACGGCGAGCTCCTCGATGCCATCGAGACGTGATGGCCTCTGTGCCTGCATGACGATGCTTGGGAAACCTGTCACATCCTATAGCGACCTGGGATAGTCCTTTGATTTTATGCTTTGGAATTTCACTAGGCCCTCATTTGTTCTCGCAACATCTTTGGATCTTTCATGATTTATATCACGTATAGTATAGACTTTAGCGGTGTGGGATCTCAATCAAGCTAGAAACAGCTGAGGCCTGAAAGTCGATGATCTTTCCATCTGGCTCCATGCCTTCCAGTTCGCTTTCCGCCTCCACATTCGCTAATAGGAATAGCCAAAAAAAGGGCAACAATGATCGGCCAAAGACGCCCAAGGCATCCTAACCTACATCCCACAGTCTTAGCCTCCGAGTTGTCGTCATCCACATTGTCTGGAAGCTTCTGCAGCTTTTGGAGGATCTGACCACGAAGGAATGAGAAATGAAAAGACAAAGGTTTATATATACATGTGTTTGATGAAGGCACTGCTTTGGAATGAATTCCGCGGGCCACTTTGAGGAGGCAGTATCTCGATTGTCTGAGCGGTCTCCTCTACTGCAGCACCTTTCACGTCTTCATCCTGGCCAAATGCTTGAAGTCTTCTCGTTGAACTCCCAGAGAGCAACCGGTTGAGACAGCCAGCGAACTGGGAGTTTTCACAGCCAGTAATGGCGCTGTAGCTGTCTACGTAGTTGTTGTGATTCCCTACAAAGGAAATCAAAGGAAAACATGACAAATGAGGAGTCCATCCTCTGCTGTGATGGTTGTTGCTGCTGGAGTGCCCACCTGACCAACCTTGCCACGAAGCGAACCACTACTATTTTTAGTGCCCCGGCTGCTCCTCACTTTGACTATGCTCGCTCTCATCATCGTTGTTGGATCCCTGTCAAATCTTGCATGCAGCGAGATCGCAAGCGGGATCGCATGGATCCAACTACATGACACGCTAACCAAAGCAACCTAAGAGCCTTTGGCATGTTGCTTGTCTACTGATTCCCACACAGCAAAGGGCTGCGGCTAGCTCTATAGAATTCACAGCCCGCCTTTTGCCGAAGACGGATAATCTCCTTGCTCTGCATGGCCAATGCTCTGAGAAGGTGAGGTAGTCCTGGAACAAATTGGTGTCTTCAGCACACCTTCGTATCTCTTTCAGCACACCTTCGTATCTCTTGACACGGGCTTCTACGAGTATCATTGCGTGCTTTTCTACTCCCGCCACACCTTTGTTTGGACATAGCTGTTTGTTGGTTTGCTAGGCTCCAAAGACCTGTCTTATCACCAGCCCTCACCGTCTGAGTTTGTGTATTGGCTAGCAGATGTCCCAATACCTAGTTAGGCCCCTAAGGACAAAGAAGGCCACACCCATTGTCGGTACGACATCTGCCTTCATCTTGGACGTTCCATTATCACCAACAGGATGCTTTGTACATATATATATATATATAGGCATGAGCCACCGGCCAACACAGCATCGGCTCAAGTACTTACCAGAATCGCAACATGGATCCACCATGATTCATCACAGTCAAGATGCATCAGCTTCAACGTCGAACGAGTCGAACATCCACACATTGTGCATGTACAAAGACTCACAACGACTCACTGCAGCCATCTTGCGATCATGGCTTTGTCGCTTTCCGGAGCTTGTGCAGGGCCGTGTCCAGAGCAGAAACTGACATGCAAAGAAAGAAGAATCACCTAGCGCCCAAGCAAGTTCACGACGACAGTTGTACAACAGCATTGATCATGTACATACATCTATAATCGGAACACGTTCCATCAGAAAGTTCGCAGCTATGAAAAGATCTGCCGATGAGCTGCCCGTGAGTGCGCATGACAGGAAAAGAGTCAAAGTGGGCGGCGTAGCTGCAGAAGGGCACTTTCTAAACGCGGCGTGTGGCTCAAAGCACACAGTTCAGACGTGGTGTGCTGGCTGTTTCAGTGTTTCACTGGTGTGCGCGGCTCGATCGGGGAGCGCCCAGAGTTTCAAATTGCAGGAATACATGAGGTTGGCGCCGGTTTCAAATTCTCATATGGGAATGCAACAGAAGGATTGAAATTGCCAGGATTTGGCAAATCTGTGTGAACAGCGCATCGTACCACTACGTTGCGCCACCGTATCACATCAAATCGCAACAATGGACTTCAATCTTTCAAAAATGGTTCTTTGAAGTGCCGCCTGCCGGCTTTGCGGAAGATTTGTACATATCGTTAAAGATCGTATGCACATATGTCACATATGTATACATAGTATGAGATAGACACACACACATCAAAGCAATCACTACCAGTGAATGTTAAACAAATCCGGTTTGAGATTATTTGGCAAACACCAAGATCCACAAACGCAAAATCCATAGCTTCTCGTGTCATCATGATGAGGCCTTGAGCAACGCTGCTGGGCAATGCCTGATCACTATTGAGTATCAATTCCGGAAGTGAAAGCAAAGTTGGACGTCAATAATATCCAAATGTATGAAGAAAATAAAAAATAAATGTATAATGATGTATATATACACTGGCATCTCAACGCTAGAGGCTCTGGGGTTTCGATTCAGACAGGAAGCATTATACCGGATTCGTTCCAACACAAGTATCCCGGCCTGCGCACATCCAAGGCGAAACAGCTGCAGGAGAGCCAGTAGAGTCACCTGTATCTGAACTCGAAAAGTCTTGCAGCAAAAAGGGAATGCCATGCTATGCAAGGGTATGCCTAAAGGATCCTAAAGGGGCGGAAAGTATGTTTACAGGAAACCAGCCAATATCCCCCACCTTTTCACTTGAGCCAAAGATCGATGGTCGAGAGGTATATAGTACACAGAATACGTGGAACACTTAGTAAAAACACCCCCCGCGGCGCGAAGCGGCTTTGCCGCGGTGCACCGAAGAGGAAGTCGTTCAGTGTCCACGTATCAACCTCAGGCGGCGATGAAATCAAACCGCACTACGACCCTCGAACTACTGCTTGCGAATGAGGCATGTCGGCACGAATGCAATCAAACTCCTACTTAACAATGCAAGACGAAAGCAAAATTGAGGCAATCGATTCCTTTTCACTGACGCGGAGCATGCGACAAGTCTTCGCCTGAGCAGCTATGGCAACTGACCTCAAAAATTGCGATAAGCAATGAGGTTTCTCACTAGAACAACGGCTATGCCTTCCGGCACGCTCGTCTCACTGGGAACTCTTACCGTTCCATGCTCGAGAAAAGCGTACACAGATTGCACAAACCATTGAATTAAATGCAAAATGAGCTGATTGAAGGGTTTACGGCAGAGCGTTCCCGCTCGCTTCATAGGGACTTTGAAGGTACCACACCAACGAATTTGATTTCCGGCGTGACCTTCCGGTCCGCATGGCGAGACGATATTCTCTGCTTCTTTCTTCCTTCTCTTCATGGCTTTTCAGCGGTTCCACCAGCCTCCCTTGGACGAGGACCACCAGTCGGAGGAAGATGACGAGGCAGCCTCACTCTGCCACGAGGATCGCCCGGAGCGGTTCCAATCCCATGAACCGGAGCCCCAGGAACCTCCCCATCCTTGGTTCCAGCTGCTTTGCCAGCCTCCTTAATACTGGCTCTTCCCCTTGCCTTTGCCCTTGCCCTTGTTGCGACCCTTTGCTTCTGGGCAGTCACGGGCACGATGGTCGGGTGAGCCGCACTCGTAGCAGAGCTTGGCGTCTTTCCCGACTCCTTTTGAGCGAGGATCGAAGGCCGTCTTCGTGCTTTCCTTTGCAGTGGATCGCCGCTCGGTGAGCTTCACCTCTGGAAACCGTCCTGAAAAGATCGTCGTGTCGGAGTACTCGGTTCCCTCGCAGGCTCGAGCCCAATTGCGTTCAGCAAATTCCACTAAATCGCTCAGGATCTGCACGGCGTCGCCTTCCGGCACGCACTCCAGGCTTCCCCATCCCTCCACAGCAACAACAGGTTCGTTGCGTGTGCGGGCCAGCGAGCACCACATCGAAAACAGCTTCAAATTGAAGAAACGATTGTGATGACATACGAACGATTCGTCTTCGATCGACATGGCGTCGTTCGGATCCCTGGCAATGGTGGGGATAAAGCACAACTTGGAGTGGCGCTCCCTTTCTTGGTCGTCAAGGGCCCTCTTCCGCTCGAGAGCGCTTCGACCAGGGTTGGCAAAGATCGCTCGTGCAAGTCGGTGAAGAAAGGTGAGTGACCCTGACGTGAGCTGCGTTGTTGCACAGTTGTAGGCAAACAACGGGTCAACCTCCAGTCGCTTCGTCGGTCCGGGCAATCCCAGCTGCTTCGCCTTCCTGACGTAGTTGACGGCCAGTCTTTTGACTAGGCCGAACGCCGATTTGGCGCCGCGCTGCTGTTCGCCCTTGGACATGTCTTTGACGACGTTCGCCTTGCGAAAGGATCTTGTTGAAAGCTGATCCAAGGCGACGACGGACTCATTGAGGTTGGCCGTCTCTTCCATCCGGGCAAGTTCACTGGCCGATCGGGCGTCGGACCAGACCTGCAAGTCTTGGCGACAATAGTCGCATTTGTGCTGGCCATCAAAGTGCTTCGTCGCGCACAAGGGTGATGGGCACACCCGCTTGGGGATCTGGACAATCTCATTCGCCATCAGATCTTCGTCCGTGATGTCGCGAAACTTTCCTTTGCCCTTGCCCTTCTTGCCCTTGGACTTGCCCTTTGATTTGCCCTTTCCTGCCCAGCCAGACATCTCCTCATTGATGATGATGCACACTTGTCCCAGCATAAAGCCGGTAAGCTCTGGCGGCGGACCCTCCCGGGACGCTTGGCTCTGAGTCAGGGCAACCTCGTCGGTAATGCCCGTCATCTTGACTGCGCCTCGCATCAGGTTGATCTGGCCCACCTTGACGTGCTGTTGATTCTGGCGGGCATTGTTCAGCATGTAGTTTCGAGCCTCAGCCAGCTTGCTCAGTCGGAACTGCGGATCGTCAGTGGAATGGCTCTTCATTTCTTCATGGTACATCTGTCGCATCTTGGCGTACGCCCTGTTGAACCAGACAAATTGGTTGTTCCGGGCATCGTACGCGTACATCAGTGCTGAATTCGGAACCCAGTCCAAACAGAGGATGCTTTTCCGTGTCGCGAAGACCCGGCAACCATGCTGCATCACAAGCTCTGTGTCGAATGCTAGGTAAATGGGTTGTCCGGCTCGCGTTCCCGCAAGCTTTCTCATCTGGGCCTTCCATGGCAGGCAGGTCGTGAAATAATTGTGAGCTCGGCCCGTCTTCTTTGGAAAACCACCAGGGATGAGACCGGAGGTGATGATTCCCTCCATAGCTGCGCGGTCGCACGAGTGGTATAGGACCCTTGGTAGTGACGACAGATACTCCTGGTCAGGCACCATGTTCATCCGTGGAAGCTTGCCCTCATCGACCATTTTCGGTACATAGTCGGGGTCAAGGGAATAGACACGCTTAATGAAGTTGGCGTGTCCCAACCGGTCAGTGACCCACCGGTTGTGGCCTTGCACCGCCTTGATACCGACTGGTTCGTACGGCAGACCTTTCCAGGTCGCTCCCACAGTATTGCCTGGCAGGCGAGTCTTTAACTCGAATCTTTCGTCTTCCGAATTCTTGATCACCAGAAGCACCTCCCATTCCCTGCATTGGTTAATGCGCTTCTGGAGGCATTCCATGAGCGGCTTCCAGGGCTTACTGCCGCCCTCCTCGAAGTCCGGCGTGTCGAACCCTTTCAGTTCCTTATGGCCGCGGAGGTGGGATGTGAGCTCTTGGGAGATCCACCGAAAACGGCCCCACTCAACATCCCGGCGCGGGATTTGGCGAAGGTGCTCGGGACCGAGCCACACCTCTTGTCCCGGAAGCTGGGCAAATTCGAGATCCTTACTGGGATCTTCGGCGTCGATCGCCCGCAAGGTGGGTTCCAGATTAGGACGCCTCACCTGCTTCGGCTGCGCCTTGGGCCGAATAGCAAGCCGCTCTGCTTCTTTCCACTTCTTGAATCGAGCGTCCCGCTCTTCCTGTTCCCCTTTCACCACGATTCGGCCGGTTTTCTCGTCGATGTAGCTCAGTTCCTCGTAGTGAGCCTTGGCCTCAGCAGCGGCCTTTTCTAGCTCTGTGAGTTCTGGCTTCGGCGAACCTTCCGGCACGCTTGGCTTCCTGGGGCTTCGTGGCAGAGGGCTTTTTCTTCGGCTTTCCCTTCTCCGCGTCATCCTCACCAGTTAGGTCGATCTCCATGGGCTGGGCATCATCAGTTTGAGTCTTCTCTTCACTAGCCTGGCCCGGAGTCTCCTTGGCTTCTCCGCCCTGGGATTCCTCAGCTGGTTGATCGACGTCGTTTTGGCCTTCGGGAGCGGCTTCTTCATCCGCCTTCTTCTGCTCCCCTTGGGCCTTCTCGTCGACCTCCATGGGTTCGGTCTTATCGGCCTCGCCCGTCTCTGAACCCCCCGCAGACTTGAATACCGCCGAGTCCGCATCATCATCGTCCCAGTCTGGTTGTTCCTCCTCGGGATGCTCAACGATTACATAGGACTTTTCGGTGCGAACATCAGCAAAGGCTTCATCATCTGCCTTTTCCTCCTCAGTCTTCGGTGGCGGAAGCGGCACCTCAACTGGCGGGATGAATGAGCTGGCATCCGGATTCTTCTTTTTCTCCTCGAGGGCCCGTTCCCACTCATCGAAGTCGAGCGTGTCTCCTTCGTCTGGGACTTCCCATGGGAACTCTTCCACAAGCTCTTGGCCCCCCATTGGAGTTGGCAAGTCTGGGTACAGCTCTTTCATAATGATGCGATGCCTCTCATCGTGCTCACTTTCGTCCAATTCTTCTGCGTCGATGGGCAATCGCAATAGGTCATCCGGGGTCATCTCCTGGGCCAGCACGTGGCTGGTATCTTTCAGGCGCACGACATCCGTCTCTTCCTCTTGCAGCAACCAATTCATTATCTCTTGGTCAACTGCGTCCACAATGTCGGCCGGGCTCAATTCGATTTGATCCACGGCTCGCCTTCCGGCAAGCATTAAGTCAGCAGCAGCTCGAACCTCCGAGATAGTAGGGTACCTGAACATGAACTCCATCAACTGCAAATCTCCCTCGCCTTCACCGGCGTTCAGGATTGTCAACGGTTCAATCTCGTCCTTGTACTGCATCACTTGGAAGGTCCGAAATGCGCTGGTAGCAATGCTGGAGTAGACGGCGACGCGTCATGATATAAGTGTAGGATTGAGTCTCTCTCAAGAACTTTCCTCTACCTTCGGCATGTTGAATGTTGCAGCTGCATTGAAACTCGCTCAAAGCCTTACCTATGCCTTCATGAGTGGTAGCAACTGTCCAAGGCTTCTTAATAGGGAGATTATCCTTACCCTTCAGCCCCACAGCGCACCCATCGAAGTGGTATGACACGAGACAGAGTTTATCGATCAGCTTTCTGACTTTGGGTAAGCCCCAATAGGTGCATCCCCTCGGCCATTCGACGGCAACATGGACCTTGGGAAGGACTGACAGAAACTCGACCAAACTTGTCCAGAGGACAGCAAACTTCCTACGATGCTGCTTTACTTTCCGGCTTCCGGTTGGGTGGCGTAAGTTGATATACGTCCACGGAGTGCCCCCCGTGCAGGGTAGGCTAACCCAAACGAGTACTGATTCCACGCCGTGGGCTTGTATGTGATGCTTGACTTGGGCGATTATGAGCC